CCATTTCCTTCAAAGCAGCCTGAACTTCTTCTTTCATCACCATAGACTCTTGCTCATATGTTGTTTCATGAAATTCTTCTGTGTCTGCCAATTCCTTTCGATACGTGAACTTTTCTTCTTCATTTACATTGGTCACATTATACCAATTTCATCTACATCTAGTTTTGCCTTTCTTATCACTAAAATTACCTTTCCTAACCCAGCGTTTCTCAGCCTAAAAAAATTGAAAAACATATTTAAGCCTCAAGTGTTGATAGAGATGTTGTTGTTGTTGTTGTTATTGTTGTTATGTGCTGATCGTATGTACAGCAGCACTAAACCCTGCTCTATCCCTTGCCAATGTTATTGTCTACTCCCACTATCCCAATCACTGAATCAGTCCATCTCATCAACTTTTTCTTTCCAGTTCTGTCCCTTCACCCTCCCAAGCATGATGCCATTCTCCAGGAACTGATCCCTCCTTGCAGCATGTTCCAAGTGTGTTAGACAAAGCTTCAAAATCCTGCCTCCAAGTAGAAGCCTGGCTTCACCCTCTCTAGGATGAACTTGTTTGTTCTCCTAGCAGTTCATGGTATATTCATTACTCTTTTTAAGCTCCACAGCTCCAAGACATCAATTCTCCTTATATCATCTCTAGTCACTGTCCTGCTCTCTGATGCATAGCAAGTAATTGCAAAGAACATGCCTGTATCAGGCATACCATGGTCTCCAGACTAACGTCATTGCTCTTCAGTACTTTGGAAAGGTCTCTGACAGCAGCCTTTCCCAATGCAATTCATCTTTTAATTCCCTGGCTGCTGGAACCAGGAGTGTTGATTGTAGAGCCAAGCAACTTGAAGTTGTCAACAATCTCAGTCTCTTCATCATCTTTGATGATGCTACATATTGGCCCTGTGGTGAGAATCTTGTTTTCTTGATGTTGAGCTTAAATGCATATTGAAGGCTGCAGTTTTTTACCCTCTTCAGCAAGTGCTTCAGGTCCTCCTCAGTTTCAGCAAGCAGGGTTGTGTCATCTGCCTAACACAGATTGTTGATTAGTCTACCTCCAATCTTAGTGCCACATTTCTCCTCATAGAACCCAGCCTCCCAGATAGGACACATCCTTGGTGCACACCCTTCCCAGTTTTGAACCATGCTGTGTTTCCTTGCTCTTTTCTGATGACTGACTCCTGGTCCAAGTATAGGTTTCATATAAGCACCGTCAAGTGTTCTGGGATTCCCAGTCTTCTCAGATTTAGCCACAGTTTGTTGTGATCTACACAGTCAAATGCTTTTGCATAATCAGTGAAACACAGACATTCCTCTGATAACTTTATGCATTCAACCAAGACCTCTCTGACATTAACTATAATACCCCTAGACCAAGGCCTCTTCTAAACTATGTGCAAAATCTTGAATGATGCATCAACAAAAGATGGGACAGAATCAGAGAATTACAGAGAAAAAGAATTGGCAGACACTGAGATATTGGAGGAAGTACAATATAATCAAGAGCCAGTGGTATTGAAGGAAGATGTCCAGGCTGCACTGAAGGCATTGGCAAAAAAAAAATAAGATCCACAAATCGATGGGAAATCAATTAATGTATTTCAAATGGCAGATACACTGGGGACCTCATCAATCTGTGCAAGGAAACTTGGAGGACAGCTCCCTGGCCAACTGACTGGAAGAGATCCATATTTGTTCCCATTCCTAAGAAAGGTGATCTACCCAAATGTGGAAATTATCAATCAATATCATTAATATCACACTCTA